GCACATGAAGACCAGCGCCGCCGGCAACTGGTGAAATTCGGCAAAACGCGCGACCCTTCCATGAGCCCCTCCCTGCCGTCGGGACCTCGACGTTCGCGACAACCCCCATGCTCACGCAGTCTGCAACATCCTCGCAGCGGGGCAATCCGGTCGAGCTTATTGGGTATGGCTTTACTACGATAAGGGCGGCCGGGTTCAGTTGCGTTGGCCTTTTGAGGGCTGGAATTGGAAATATCCGTGTGCTTGCCTGCAGACGCTTTCCGTTGACAGACACCAAGCGATCGCCCACCTGGATGCCAGCCTGGCCCAGCTGGGATGTCGAGGAAGGGAAACTGCGAAGAAAAGTCAGTGGAGACTGCTGTGCCTTCTCCGCCAGCCCCGGACAACGAATCATCGCAACAACAGCCCCTGACTGTCGGAGGCCTCAGCACAAAGGGCAACGGCCCAGGGCCCGAGAAAATCTGAGTTCTGAGGCCGGCGGCCTGGCCGCAAGACGAAGTCCTCCCGCAACGTCGCGCCTCGGCTGCTTGGCTGCTTGGCTGCGCTCGGCTGGGGCGTGATCGCGCTTGATGTCTGGGTCTGCGGCCGTCCTTGTACACCACCAGTCGGCCCACAAGGCCTTGGTTCGGCAACGTCTTTGCGTGAGCAACTAGCCTGGACAGAAAAGTGCAGAAGGCGAAACTCCTCGCATCCTTCGCTTCGATCACAGGAGAAGTGGCGGATGTGGACTTTGAGAGATCTCTGCGACTCTTGCCGAAGCTTGTGGGCGCCCACGGTTATAAGAGAGACTTTGGGATGCATCGTGCCGTCGCAGACTTGTGCAGACTATGAAACGTATCAAACACAAGGGCCTCGCAGGGGTGTTCAAACGGCTTTGATTGGGAAGCTGGGCACCGAGCCGACTTGGCGGCGCTGCTGCTCCCAGGAGCGCTCCTCTGCAGAAGCGACGTCTCGAGGCTTTGCGGTGCTCAGCGTCGCTGCAGGGCTCGTGCGCAGCTAAGGCCAGATAGTGACAGGATAGTGCTATCAGGATTCAGTAGCTCAGTAGCTGCCGGCTGTGGTTCAATGAATGCTGCAAAGAAGCAACACGAAGGAAGCGTGAAGTGACTGCGGTTGCCAGAGCCGGGGGGCAGCTTTGCAAGATGTGGGAATATGAGGGACAAACAGCAGATGCCGTGTTGTTCGATGAATCCTCGATGTCGAAGGCATCCTCGCCCAAGCAAGGGGGAATTCCCGAATCCTCACCTGACACTCTCACGGTGCTCCGTCGCTCGCCCTTGTAATGCTTGGACAAGGCTCACGACTTGAATCTTAGGTCTGACGAATCTACGAACAACAAGACTTGGAAAAATTGGTTTGGTTTAACATCTTGGTCCCCACTGGGCTCCTGGAGGACTGAGGACACCCCCACCCCATAGCATCTCTTCCCGATATGCCCCAGAAACCTCCTTCTTGTAGCTCTCGGAGCTCCGCGCTGCAGTCCTTCGAGCTCTCCTGGCTGCGAACGTCGCAAGGCCAAACTCACTTTGGTTAAAGCTCCCTTTTCTTCAACTGTGTGTCTTCCTTGACGCAGAATGACGCAGAGTCCTGCAAGTTTTGCATCAGTTGCCCTCCGGCGGTCTTGCTTCGGACCCCATCATGTGGACTCCAGGCCTCAATTCAATCCCGACACGCCGTTACCCCTAAACCCTAAACCCTAAACCCCTAAACCAGGACAACAAGAAGCCCCTCCCCTAGGACCCGCCTGGCAGCCCCGAAGCGGGTCGTGCCTTCGAAGGAGCGTTTGTTTGGGTTTAGGGTTTAGGGTTTAGGGTTTAGGGTTTAGGTACGGAATCTTCCCTCTGGACCCGAAGCCCGAAGCAGAGTACACACTTCTGGCCTCAGATTCCTGGCTTGCGATTCCCCGCCCTCCTGCGCACGGGACGCCGAATGTCAGAATAAGAGGCGGGTCTAAGCATTTGCAGACCACTCAAAGATGTCTCATGCACAGGTAGGGAAGTGGAGACCCTCCTTGCCGTGCTGCGCTGGCCACATCTTTGGTTCGTCCTCACTGGAACCACAAAACTTGAATCGCCTTTATCCACACCCAAGAGCTTCTTTCAACAGAGCATCCGCAAACCAGGGAAAACGGGAGAAAGCCCCTGCCTCCACACTATCTCAGTCGGATGATGTGAATGGCTTCAACACAGACACCGGAAAAGAGCCCCAACCATGACCCGCTCTTCAACCCTCCCATCCCTGGTCCAGCGCCCTCATCACTGCCACGGCGGCGCTGCGTGCGGCGAAGTGGTCGCAGGGCTTTGCGGAAAGCAGGGACTGACGCCAGCGGCTGACCTCCAGCTTCGCAGAAATTGATGACATCTGGGATGATCCAGCTGACGAGATGTTGGGACGAGAGCAACAAACAATGGTACCAGTATGAAACTGCAGGACGCCGAGACGACGGCAAGAAACGACCATGGGAGGACCGGATGAATCAATTCAAGGAGCCACGGATCTCACAAGAAAGCACGCTAGGAAATCGAACATAAGGCAAATGGAACGGGATGCGGCAGGGCTTGGAAGACGTGTCTCTCTAAGTGGCTTCCAAGACGTATCTAAATTGATTGCTCGCGGTGAGATTAAGAGTGCGAGTGAGTGTGGGGCTGAGAGTAAGTAACGGTAAGGGTGAGGGTAGGGTAAGAGTAAGAGACAGGAAGAGTGAGGGCAAGGTTGAGAGTCAGCCCGAGGGTGGTGGGTGAGAGTGACGGTGAGGGTGAGAATCAGGATGAGAGTGAGGTTTAGGGTGGGTGAGGGTAAGGGCGAGGGTAAGGGTGTGCCTGACTGGGAGTGTGGGTTGGCAAGTGTGTTTGCATGCTGTTTGCACAGCCATGTGACGGCCCAACATCGATTTCCATCTGCCGTTTTGCTTTTGCGTGGGAAAAGCGAGGAAACTAGAAGAGTGTGAACTCAGACCAGTTCCTTCCGCGGTTTCTCCTGAGTGGCTTTCGAGTTACTGGCTGAACCTGTAGCCCGTAGACAGCCAGATTCCGACGGCCTGAAGTGCACCACAACGGACTCCGGGGCGTAGTGAGAAGAGTGGGCTATTGCTCATCATCTCCTCGCACTCGCAGACACGAAGAAATAGGTGTTACGGAATCTACACGTCACCGTCGCTCCTTCTGGGGGCTTGCAACTGCCACCTGGTGCCAAACATCCTCGTGGGTCGACGACAGAGCTCTTGCTTGCACGACATGTCTCAGAAGCATCAAACACCACGGAGAAAACGGTCAGAAGCTGTCAGAGCGCTGTTACATTAAAGGGCACCTCATAAGCGCCCTAGGCTGTCTTGGACTCGTCAGGACGAGATGCCCAGGAGCTAAACGAGAACAGCACGTCGTCGTCATCGTCCCCGGCCATGTCGCTTAGCGCCCATAGTACTGTTGCGGGAGCCTACTGCATACAAATGTCGGACCGAAGCGCTCAAGGCTCAATCTGCTTGAATCGCAGCACCACAACACCTGCATCACCTATGGCTTTCGCGGCAGGAAATGCCAACATGACTAGAGTTGGGGATGCGTGCCGTGGCAAGTCAAGGCATCCTAGACTCATCCTCGACGTCTCGAGCCTAAAGTGGCTAGCATGGCCAGATGCCTCTGGGCAAAAGCCCCGGCTCAGAAACCCTTCCGTGCCCTTTTCAGCTCCTGGCCCCGGGGTCCCCGGAGCACACTTCCCTTGACTCCTCGACACCCTGGCACTGGCACCCACAAAGTGAGGTTGTAATGTACATCTTGTCGCTGCCACAGGGCTGAAAATGCAGTCCCAGAGCCCACATGCTGGGCATGGGAGGTTTCTATGAGGCTACTTAAATGCTAACGCCTAGGCCCCAAGCTGTGGTCTCCACGGCGCTGGCTCAGTGTGTCTTCTGCCCTGTGGCAGCGACTGAACGTGCGAGGTGGTCTGCTGTGCTTCGGCTCAGGGGGGCTCAAGAAGAAACTATGTCACGGTGACCAGGACTGCTGCTGCACACCTCATGCTCGCCTACCTGCTTGTCCCTACGTGCCAAGTGACCACTCGCATCAGGCTATTGACAAAGTGAAACACTTTTTTGGTATTGCCCTTTAAACTTGGAGTCAACTTCTTTGAGTCAGCTCGGTTCACGGGCAGGACCCTGTTGCTGAGCTATCTCTCACACCGCCCCCACAGCCTCGCAGAGCAGGGCAGCAACTAACGACTGACTTGCATGGCATGCAGCTGCATTGCATTGATGCCGTCTCCGGAATACATCCTTTGAGCTGCGTCGGCCAGAGGATCCAGAAGCATCTGCAAGACAACTTGTCCCAGTCAACACTCCGGCCGGTACACACCGCGATGCACGAGCAGTGTCGCACCGTCACAACACTAACTGTGCAACCCAGCAACGCACACCTTTCGTAAGGCTGACAGGAACGGCTGGACAGGCCAACGGCCCACGACCCAAGAGGAACCCCGGGAACCCCGAAGCCAAGACACCAGGAAGCTTCCAGGCCACAGAGACTGGGGACGCCGTCCTTTTGTCGCCTTCGCTCCTGAAAGGCGATGGCTGTAGGCTGTAGGGCTTAGACTCTAATACTTCGACACAGGTCCTGAGCTGGTCGCGCGAAGGTCTCAAACCTGCGATTCAGGGATTTCGTGTTTCGCAATCTGGCATCCAGGTCCAGCGCAACGACTGAAGGCTCCCAACCGAAGCGTGTGGCCCCTTTCAGGATTGAAGGATCCTCCGAACCTATGTCTGACTGGCCTTACGCATCTGACAATCATCCCCTCGTGCTTCTGTAGATCCTCTGAACATTAAGCACATGCGAGCAACCTAGAGCCATTGAGGCGAGGATGGCACGGAAATCGCGTTTCAAAGCGCCTTGAAAACCGTCGGGGGGTTCGTGCATACTTGAGGCTGCAAAGCATTACAAATTGTTGTCCGGCACTCACCTGGGCGGCAGCGACTTCATGATCACGGGGCTGGCCTCCTCCGCCTTCAGGGCTTTATGATTCGGACAGCATCCGTTGTTGAGAACTTCGAGTCTGCGAGCTCTTCAAAGGACTTTCAATTTTAATGAGGTGTACTGTGTTGTGTATACTTTAATGATGCAAAAGTTATGTACGAACAAGGGAGAAGCGTGTTTTGCTTGAATTAAGACAAACTCAACACCCCTCTTGCGCTTTGCTTTAATCATTTGCCTTTGGGCTTTTCTCGCTTTCATTTCAGTGCATTGAAAAAGCCCAAATGGAAAGCAAAGGACAACAGAAGTAATGTAAGAATATGAAACGTGAAACATCGTGAAATCAAACTCCTTCCAACCGGTCATCAAGGATTCCCAAACAACGCGTTGGTGATCTTGCGCTTTGGAGATTTTTTGCGTGACCTGCTTTTGAAACATGCATCACAGCATCATCTAAACAAGGGCAGGCGAACAGGGCCGAGGAGTGCCGCATGCCATAAATCGTCCAGGCTGGGGGGGCCCTGGCCCAACTAGCACATGCCGGCAATTCTTACTCTTCCCCTTTTGACCGTCAAGGATCCACAACAGGCCCACTTTGGGGATCTTGCTGCTTTGCAGGTTCATGCAAGACCTGCGTTTAAAACGTACATCATAGCATCACCTAAACAAGGGCATGCGAACGGGGTTTCCGGAGACACAAATGGCAGGCATCAAAGAAGCTGTCCTCCACGCACACGCTGTACTTGGAGGATCGTGTGACCCCGTAAATATGCTGATGCCCGCCGTAACCTCAATAGGCTAGACAATCAGCATACCCACTAACTCATTGAAAAGAGCTAAGCTCAAGTTGTTCAAAGCCGATGCAACCCTTTAGCAACGTTAACTTTAACAGATGCACAGGGCTGACGAGTCCAGAAATGGGCCGCTCGGTGCATCATGATTCCCGAGTGCTTGTCACGGACAGGCTTCGCCATTGTATGGTCGAATCTCTGACTGGACAAAACCCGGGAAAGACAGTGCTAAGCGGCATACTGGATCCCGACAGAAAGAATCCTTGACCAAAACTTGAGGGTGCGATGGCCAAGCCGACCCTGCACTCACTACAAATAGAGGAGAATGCTGGGTGCCGTCACAGATCTACAACCTGTATTGGTATGCCGCCATGCTCCAAGGAGCATGCTCGAAGGAGCGTTGCGCGTAGACCGCCCGAAATCCCTAAACCTCCCAAGGCTTGGTAGCAAGAGGGCCATCAACACAATCTGGACAGCGAAGAGCGATGCAAGCATTGTGTGGCAGCATACTGCCCCACAGACTGTACCGTGGCGCACTGGCAAGAGACACCACACAGCGGCAACCCCGGGGCGTGAACTACAGCCTTGATCCCACTCGGCCTCGTATGTGATGGGTCGGGATTCGCAGGTCAGGAAAGGCCTCCGACGGCAAAAGCTAACTGCATGCAAACAATAAGAAAGCAGAAGCATACACTATCTGGGCAGTTCTCTGACTGGGGATCCCTAGTACGGCGCACTCTTACAAGGGAGCCTATTTAGAGAACTACTCATCTCTACACACGACCTCTGCTGCAAACAGTCTCTCCTAAGCGGCTCTACGAACATCATTCACGACAGCCCTCCCTCGAGCATGGAAGTTATGCAAAATACCGCATGCAGTCGTGAGGGCTCCAAACAAGTCAACTCACGAGCCAAAACTCTTCACTCGGCTGTCATATTATGCTCGACTATATGCATTTCTATGCACCTATATATATATATACATATATATATATATATGTATATATATATATATGTACAAATACTTTTCACTTGTTGTTTATATATTTATTTACGCTTGGATTAGTATACTATACTATGCTATATTGCACCGATATATTATAATACCTTTTCTCTTCGATCTCACTGCAAAGCTCTAGGCGTCGGGCAGCGTGCTCTGCGTTTCAGCCTTGATCTGCTCGACAAGCCGCTTGGCCTCCGCACGAACTCTCCAGGCCCGAACTCTTCAGCCAGCTCTCATACACATCTGCATGTACATACATACATACATACATACATACATACATACATACATACATACATATATATATATATATATACACATAGATACATTCATTCATTCACTCACTCATTCATTCATTCACATATTCAGTTGTTTGG